CCCATCGTGGTAACTGAGTGTAACTGAAAACCCAAGTTCGAAGTGTGCCCCTTGTAGTCACAGGGATTCTTTTGAATTGTTTTGTTTTGTTTTTAGCAGGGGGCCCATGGACACTTGGATGGCATGGGCCAACGAAGACCCATCCAAGCTGTCGTGAAAACGTACCTGCTTGGTGCACCTGGGCGCATTGTAAGACGCAGCTGGTGGCCATGAATTTAGTTCTGCAGATGTGCACGGACCGCCGTCATCTTGTCGATCCGAACTCGTCGATTTGGTGCTTGCGCTTTGGGCCTCACTTCCGTTTGAAGACCCCCAGCCTCCATTTTGTTTTACCTGTACTCTTAGGAAATGGTAACCTAGGCTGGCGTGTGGCACCGCTGTCAAGTCAGTACGCATATCCATACGTGTGTCTCTCCCAGTGAGAGTCCGGGATGAGCCCGTAGAGTGCCTCCCGTGGACCCGTCGAACGGGTGTCTGTCTTTATCTCCCCTGCTCGGAGATGTACGTGCCCAGAGCGGGCGTAGGAGGCTTACGCCAAAGTTGTTTGCCAAGACTTGACGAATTATTGAATTCCAAGTTGGCTCATGCCTTTACGTGACCGCAGCGGTCAAAGCAGCCAGCCACTTTGGCAGGGCACAAGGTGACCACAGCGGTCAAAGTACTTTTGAGGTTCGTTGGAACCTGTCCCATTCTTAGGTGCACACACAGCGTATACATGCAAACGAGGCGAGGTCTTCCTAGGTGTTTCTAATGAGGTTCGGCATCGGTTCTCGTCCCCTCCATTTGGTTCCCCTTTTCATCCTTTCCCCTTTCACACACCTTTTGTTTCCTCTTCTCTTTCATGTCCTCCTGTCTTCATGTCTGGTCATCTCATCCTTTTCTTCGTTTGCGCGCACATTGGCCCCGGCCTTAGTGTGGTGCACTTCTACATACCTTTAAACACAGGTTTCAGGTCGCCCAGGTCTTTACAATGAGGTGGGCTTCATCGGGTGTCCCTGTGCACTTGGTTCCCCTTTCATTTCAACCACACACATCTTTGTCCCGTCTCGTCCTCTTGTCATGTCTTCATTCTTTTGTCTCTTGTGCGCGCGCACATTGGCCCTCACCTCAGCTTCACGCCTCCCCTCGGCGAGGCGTGTGTGTGTGTGTGTGTGCCCCTTGTAGTCACAGGGATTCTTTTGAATTGTTTTGTTTTGTTTTTAGCAGGGGGCCCATGGACACTTGGATGGCATGGGCCAACGAAGACCCATCCAAGCTGTCGTGAAAACGTACCTGCTTGGTGCACCTGGGCGCATTGTAAGACGCAGCTGGTGGCCATGAATTTAATTCTGCAGATGTGCACGGACCGCCGTCATCTTGTCGATCCGAACTCGTCGATTTGGTGCTTCCCCAGCCTCCATTAGGTTTTACCTGTACTCTTAGGAAATGGTAACCTAGGCTGGCGTGTGGCACCGCTGTCAAGTCAGTACGCGTATCCATACGTGTGTGTAACCCTTGGAATCACAGGGAATCTTTGGGTTTAGAGCAGGGGGTGGTAGCAGCCAGGCAGAGAGTCTACCACCAACGAAGACACTCTCTAAGCCTTGGTGATACTGGGACTGATCATCCCAGCGTACCTGCGTCAATTTTTAACCTTGGTAAAGTGCTAATGCAGCTGCAGTCACGCACGACACGCCGTCACCCTGTCGGTCCGCTGTCGCCTTGAGCTTTTGGCCCTACTTCCTCTTGCAGACCCCCAGGCCCCTTTAGGATTTTCCTGGACCTTTGAGGGCTGGCGTGTGGCATGTGGCATTCAGTTCAGCACACCCTATCCTAAGTGTGTCTGGCCTTGGCCAGCCCGGGATGAGCCCGAAGAGTGGTTCCCCTGGACCCGTCGAACGGGGTTTTGTCGAACGTATCCCCTGCCCGGATACAAAGCAGCTCGCAGCGAGCGTAGGTGGCCTAGGCCGAGAGAAGTCAGATTTTCGTCCAAATTGAGAATTCCAAGCTGGCTTATGCCTTTACGTGACCGCAGCGGTCAGAGCAGCCAGCCATTTTGGCAAGGCGCAAGGTGACCATAGCGGTCAAAGCAATTTTAAGGTTCATTGGAACCTGTGGAGAACTTAGCGCCCCCTCCTCCCCCTTCCCTCCCCCAGTTTTTCTTTGCTTCCTGGGGTTTGCGTGAATGGAATAGTCAGGATCACCCCTCTCTTTCTATGGTGTGACCCTGGACGCTTGTTCGTAGCTGGGAACACCTGCCTTTTTCCTTTTCTCTCCTCTCCCTTTCTCTCCCTCTTTCTTTCTTTCTTTCTTTCTTGGATGTCCCTGGATGCTTTCGTCATAGCTGGGAGCCCTTCCTTTCTGGTGTGTCCTTGGACGCTTGTGTCGTAGCTGGGAGCGCCTTTGTTTCCTTCTTTCTTTCCCTCTCTTTTCTTCCTCCCCCTCCCCCCCTCTTTCCTCGCGCACGGCGTGTTTACAAGCAAACTAGGCTTCTGCAACAGTTTTTTTAAAATGAGGTTTGGACTGTCATCGGTTTGTCCCCGTTCATTTGGTTCCCCTTTCATCGGCCCCCACAGACGTTTTTTTCCTTCTTTTCTTTCATGTCTTTCTGTCTTCATGTCTCTTCATCCTCATCCTTTCTTTCTCTTGCGCGTACTATCGTCCGGACCTTAGTTTGTACACATACACGCACGCGTACTCTACTTACAACGAGGTTTAGGTGGCCCAGGTTTGTTACAATGAGGTTTTGTTCATCGGTTGTCCCTCTTCACTTGGTTCTTCTTCATTGGCAACCACACACACCTTTGTCTGTCTCGTCTCTTTCATTTTCATCTGTCTCTTTTGCGCGCACATGTGCTTTGCCTCCTTTCCGGGCAGGATGGGGGCCACACATGCCTCCCTTCGGGGAGGCGTGTGTGTGTAACCCTTGGAATCACAGGGAACCTTTGGGTTTAGGGCAGGGGGTGGTAGCAAGGCAGAGAGTCTACCACCAACGAAGACACTCTCTAAGCTTTGGTGTCCCAGCGTACCTGCATCAATTTTTAACCTTGGTAAAGTGCTAATGCAATTGCAGTCACGCACGACGCGCCGTCACCCTGTCGGTCCGCTTTCGCCTTGAGCTTTTGGCCCTACTTCCTCTTGCAGACCCCCAGGCCCCTTTAGGATTTTCCTGGACCTTTCAGGATTTGGGTTTCCTAGGCTGGCGTGTGGCATGTGGCATTCAGTTCAGTACACCCTATCCTAAGTGTGTGAAATTCGGTCTCGATCTGCGAGCCCTTTGCGTCAAACCTGGGAGCAGAGTGAAAGCAGGGTGTAGTTCGTCTCACTTGTGATGAGGTTATGAACCCTGAAGTGATGATCCTCCACAAGCCCCTGGAGCACTTTGATCACATTTTTGCCCGACGAGTTGTGGTGCGAACCTCACTCTGCAAGACTCTGTAAGATTCACGACAGACTCGTTGTATGTGCAGAGCCTCGTTGTTGATATGTGTTGTCACCCCGCGACTCTCTTTAATTGCATGCAGGATTTGCTGCGAGAGTTTGTCGACTTGCGCGGTATTGAGAAGCCGCCCGCAAGCTAAGCTTCCTGTGAGGTTCTCGCACAAGAGGTGCAAGAGTTGCATTCGATGTTGTTTGCCGGCCTTTCCTCTTCAGGCAGGACACCTTGCACTTGCGAAGGCCGAGGCCAGGTGCACTTGCAGTTGCATTTGTTGCCTTCCTACTGCTGATAAAAGCAGCCAGGACCTGCATCTTTTCTGTCGGCCAGACCAACAGCTTGGAAGATGTGGACATGCTTTTGCAGGCATGTTTTGAATCCACAATTTGAAATCCCAAATGCAGAGTAACTTTTGAGGTGAGCAACAAAAAAGTTTCCGTGGTCGACCTCGTTCTTTGTCTGCAAAAGGACTTTATCAATGATATTGTTGAGAAGGTAGCAGCAGGCATAGCCAGTTCAGGTGACCGCCCCAGCTAAGGTTTCCTTGGTTCGATTGAGACAAGAAGTCACTTGGCATTCCTGCTGACCTCAAACCCAATGTCACACGAACCTTCGCAGAAGTGTGTTGCTTGCCGTATTATCGTATTGAACGAAGACGGAATGGTATATATATATACTGTAATCGGCACAGAATGCTGTACTCGGGTCTTATTCTTCTCTCCAACGCAGCATTGTGCTTTGCATGCGCGGAAGCAGCAGTGTGACAGGGGTGTCGGATATTGTCGGATAGGTATTAGATGGAAGTGTTTGTTTTTGTTGTTGCTGCTGCTGGTGCTGGTCCGGTTCTTTTTTGATAAAGCTTGAGAAGCTGAAAGTCTCTATGGCGCTCCCTTGCACTGGTCGGAACTGAGTTGTTGTTTCTGGTTCCGGACTGCACCCTAAGCTGGCATTGCACTCACACTATGACCCTTGAGACGGGCCGCAAATACCTTTGCTAGATATGCCACGGGCAATTTACCTGAGGCAGCTAGTTGTTTTTATTTCTCAAGCGGCCTTGTAAGGTCCGAGGTGGGTGATCCTACAGCTGTGTTTTGTTTGCCAACAAATAGAAAACCATACAGTAGTTCATTTTCTTGATGCGGTTGTTGCAGTTGTCGATCTCATGGTGGAGATGGAACACAAAATCACCATGATGTCAAGGGATGCTAAGGGTATCTAAAAGATTTTGAATGTCTCTGATTTCTTCTGAAACGGCCGTGCATCAGTCTAGGTGTCAGAGCTGTTTCAGCGCCTTGACAAAAACGTTGCTTGGCAGCACTTGAAGATACTGATGTGTTTCATGCTTGGAATGCAACTGTTGTAGCAAGTTCTTGTCGCTGGAACTTGGAGGTTGACAACTTGCTGGACCGCGAAGAGTTTGCCGACCTTGCAGTTGTGTTGCCCTTAAACTCGGTCTATGCGAGAGCAACGCCTACAAGTCTTCTCCACATGACATAATGCTTCTAATGACTTGTGCCCAGGTAGCGCCTCCTTTGGTGGAACTATTTGGAATTTCTTCAGTGAACGACTCGATGATGATTCTCGTGGCCCTGGGAATTCCTTGATTTCATCTCAATGTCATCTACATCTCGTTCCATTCTCATTAACATCACTCCTAATGTCATTAGTTTATATTAGTTTCACAACATTGTCATCAATTTTACTCACCGAATGGCCATGTGATTGCATTGGGGTGGGGGGAGGGGTTGGGTCACACCCCCTCCATCCGGAGATTCGTTAGACCTCGAAATCTTCTTTCTTGGCCTTCTGAACTGTATATAGGTGCCCCATATTGTTGCGCCGCTGATGTCCTATCAACGTTCACCTTGGCGACCCAATGATTGTGTCAAGTATCTAGGATATGCTAAGACGTCCATTGCACGAATTGTGCATGCCTACCCTGGTAAAATCCTATCATCAGCCTGCTCAACTGCTGCTACGCTCTTCTCTGTTCAAGTGGTGCGGCGCACAGCTGAAGATTTGAAGTGAATCATTTGCTGGTTTCGTGTTAAGACATCCACACAGGGGCAGCCTTTGGTCCAATTCACCTCAGCGTGCTTCATTGGTTGTCCCCCGGTTTTTTGGAGACTATATACACTGAATTCATGAAGATGTCTCACAAATGTCCTTAGGTTTACAGCCAACTTCACTGTTGCAATATTCGATGGGACCGGGCAAGTTCAGACATCATCCCTCACACTTGGCAAGGAATTGGCATGTGTTAAGAGTATTGTTTATCTAAGATTTAAAACCAATGCTCTATGCCATGCCTGAAAGTGGGGGCAAGAGAGACGGCAAACAGAGGTGGCAATGGCAACTGGCAATGGCAAAGGGTAGTGGCAACTAGCATGGTAAAGGCAATGGCAAAAATGCAGTGCTGGCAGAGAATGCCGTCAACAAAGATGGCAAGTAGTAAGAAAAAACGGTGGCAAGCAGCATGGCAAGGGCCTTGGAAAAAACAAAGGGCTGGCAAACACTGCAAAAAAGGAGGTGCTGCAAAAAAGAAGTGCTGCAACTGCAGCAAAGCACATGTAAATTCATTGTTCTGCCTTCACCCACACCGCTTTTCTCGGAGCATGTCGATTGGCGATCAGTTCACTGATCAGTTTCTGTCTTTGGTGTGAGACTTGAGAGCGGAAAGCGTTGCTATGCCGTTACGACGCAACACTTGCAAGCACATTCATAGATTGCATCATGCTCTGAATGGCTTGGTCTTCTTCAACTTCTGATTCCGATGGCTTCTCCATGGAAGTAATTGCGGACAGCAGCATAGCCACCAGAACTGGACCAGTAAATCTCGGGCGCCGACGGCACATAAACATGCGCTCAGGAGTCAGGAGGAACAACACTGTCAATGAAGCGTAAAATATAATATATATATTGTGTGGTCATATTGCAGAACAGCAATGAAAGGAACCGTGTGTATGTATACTGTATACTGTCTAACATAACTTTACATTGAAAAGGCTGATTGCAACTCAACGTGTCATGGCTGGCAAGTAGCGCGTTTCCCGCCAAGCTCGCAATGTTGGCGCAACTGTAGTCCTCTAAAATCTCATCAGGAAAGCTGAGTCCCTGCAGCAACATCATTTCCTTGCCTAAGTACACGCAAACGTAGAACAGCGGCTTGGGTTGAATCAAAAGCGGGCCGGAAAACAATAATTGTCGCGGCTGCGCTACTCACAATCAAACGGCTTTTCTCAAAGTCCCACAGAGTAGTGCGTGGAAGAACCACCGGCACATGAGATGGGGGGCTGGACAAATAGCGGTGCGCTGAATGATATAGGTCTGCAAATCGGAGTGCTGACGGATCCCGCTCACGATCCATATTTGCTAGAATCAACACTTCTCTTTGGCGGCCGGGCAAGACATTGAACCACTTGGAAGAGGATAAGCTCTCAGGAACATCAAAAGGCCACTTGATGTTTCCTCAGCGTCAATGAGGTCAATGCTGTTATATATATATATATATATGATGGATTGATATAGTGATATGAACTGCACTCAGCTTGTGATTCGTATTTAATTACATTCTAGAAGCGTTTCTCTGCAATGGACATATGCAAGTTCACCCAACTCTGCGCTTTGTCGGAACTTGCCCCGGTGCTAACTCCACTGGTCGAGCGCTGCTCATTCATCTTGCCAAACACAGCCTCAACGGCATCAGCGTCATTGTCCAACAGAAAGGAATCCTGGCGACAAAGTGCAAAAAGCAAAACACAGCTCAAAGACTCAAAGCAAAAAATGTTCTGTTTCCCAGCATGAACCGAGAAAGTGACATTGGCAACATTGGCTATGTTTAATCCAAGTGACGACCGGAGCTGTTTCCAAATTGATTTGCTTCAAATGCAGGAGGGTCTTATCCAACCAACTTTTGGCTGTCTCCGCTCCAATTTCGTCAGAACGGAATGCCAAAATATAGTATCTGGACCGGTTTTGTGGCACACCATACCACTGGGAGTTGGCAAGAAAAGTCCGCACTTCATATGTCACACTGCCAAACACCTGTAACTTCTTCACGCACACATCCAAGTTGGTTTGCCTTGCTGGCAACGGTTTGTTTTCCAAAAATCGCACGGCAAAGTACACTGAAGCAAAAGGTATATGAATCGACCGAATATGTTAGTTAAGTTATAGTTATAGTCTATAAATTGTTTAGTCATAGTGATGGTCAGTGTGTGATATGTGTGCTGTTTGTATGCTGCTTTGCGCTTGCATTGCTGGAACCAACTCAAGTTCAGACCAAGGACTCATCAGCCTGACCAGGAGGAGGGTTTGCGTCAATCTTGGGCACGTTCTCCAAGACGACCAGTTCTGGACATGTGGCTTCAATGATGGTACAGCATCCAGCAAAGGTCTCCACAGATTGAACAGCCTCCCACATGTCAAATGTGCACAAGGCAACTCAATTGCGCAAAAGCTGACAAGCTGCACAAATGACAACACAAGCGCCAAGCACCTTGCCCTCAGCAAATGCGGCCACATTCGCACTGGAGGAATTGTTGAGCGGACTGAGGCTAGTGCAGCTAAACCCACTGCAAAAGACATTGAGCTTTGATGGCAGCTTGCAATCCGTGCTGCTGTGCGCTATGCATTTGCGCTTGTCGTCTGTGAGGTGGTTCATGTCCTGGAAAAGACAAGCGTCACTCTCACCAGGAAGCATGCTTGTTGCCCGCTGCATGAAAGACTGCTTGTAGCCAACGTTCTCAACCCCGAAAAGAACATGGGCCTGCGCAGACAAGGAAGTGCAAGGACCAAGGACCAAGGAGGCAAAAAAGAACATGAGCAGGAAGTGCCAGGCAACAATCCAACCAAACACGTTTTTCCTGAACTGCAAATGCCTGCATGTCAAGACCATAGGCAGCATTGAGTGCGTGGAGAACTGATTGAAAGCAGAGTTCGAACCTTGCGTTGACAAGACTAGACAATGTTACACTCTGTTCCGTTGTTGCATCAGGCTGAAACTAATCAGCTAGGCCACGCTCCGGTTCCACTGCACCCAGAACCAATGTTCCACTTGGTTGGCCACGAAGGAGCACGCTTCTGAATACATGACTTGTTGCTCTGGAGGTCCCACAAGAGAAGCTTGACAATCATAACCTGCCACAGCAACAAGTCTTTTTATTGGGTCAGTTGTCCCATAACTGATAATGCCGCTGCCACAAAATCAAAATATACTATATTATGTATTTATATTATATTAAAATATATTAATACTTACATGATTATCCGAACTTTGATAAGTTGCAAATGTAACCCTGTTCCCCTCAGCCTTAGCAGCACTTCCAATGATATAACCTTTGTCCGGGAATTCTTCTTGAACTTGAGCAAGCAATCGAGACAAATATTCGGGATCTCCTATATCGAGCTGTGCCTCTTCTGTGTCGACCTCTGCATCTGGCTGTGCTGGTGCCTCTGACTCACCACCCTCGTCATGTTCACCTCAACCCATGCGGTTGCATGAAACTGCATCATGAAACCCATAATTACCATAGCTACCACACTGCCCCTATCATTCAACTATGAAAGGCAAAGTGACCGATAGACGCAGGAGATGCTGAAAGCAAAGCCACTGAATCAGAGTCCTTTGGAACATCTGGAACGGCAGGATCAGAATATGATACAAACCATTTCATGAAGCATTCTAAATCAGCTCGATCACAACGTCCATTGCCGAAACTCATAGGCTCCTCTGAGATGTGTTCGCTGCCTAAGGAACCGACTGCATCGCGCAAGTAATCGTTGAGTGCAGGATGATGAACTGCTTCCTGTAGCAGCACCTCAAACTTCTCTTTGGGAAGCATGTAGAGCATCCTTGCGAGCTCGTCTCTCCATTCGCACTTCGGTCTCGCTGCATAGGTGCGAAGATAGTTTGCCAGGTTTGCTAGACTACTGACATCTGATTCACTGTGCTCCCTCTTGGTAATGTACAGGGCGAAGTCTTTCAAGTCTTCAATGGGATCGTTTTCTGGAATGCCGTACTCCCACACCTCCCCGTTTTCTGCGCTGATCATCGCAACAAAACCTGGCAGCAACGGATGTTGTTGCGATCCGCTGAACAAGTGGTCGATGACATCTTCAGATGAAGAAGCCATGATTGAATCAAACATGCGCTCTTGGTCCTCATTTGGTGCCGTGCCAATCTTGGTCAAAAGACTGATAAATGCAACTACCGGTGGCGGCATTTGCGTCTGGGTGTTTGGGCTGCTAGGTCCTGCATCTATTGCATTCGCATGCCTCGTGGAAAGCCACCGAATGAAGCACTTCACATCCTCCAACGGATCACCCTCCTCACCACCGTACTCCCAGTCGCTTTCCACAGGCTCTGGCCCAATTTTCATTTCCTTGATGTGCTCAGGAAGCTCTGGGTGTTCCCGAGACTCTGCAATCAAAGCATCTAAAGCTGAGTCAGACATTGCCCCAAGGAGCTCCTCAAGCTTCATTGCTCGCTCTTCAACTGCAAAAAGGCCAAGACTGGACAAGCAGCTTTGCACCGTCATTTGAGTGCTGCTCGGTTCTG